GCCATTCTGCTGTCTGTTTGGGAGGAAGTTTGAGGACTGCTCGAGGGCATGGATAATTTGCACTTCCTTACTGTAAAATAAGCCTGAAGGGGTTAAACTCATTCTGTTCTTTCTAATGATGTGGCATCTCAGTCTGATTGCAAAGTGATGAAATAACTGAGTAATGATGAATGTTTGTCTGCTCGCTTTGTGAGATGGAACAAGGTGCACGTAGCCTCACTGCTGACTCAGTCTTCAGCTGCGTACAGCTATGGTGGGATCACAGTAGACAAAGATGTCTTGGATCCAGTTCCTTGTGAGGCATCCAGAGATGACTTCCCCCACCCGTATAATGTTGATAAACGGTTGTTTTCACATGGCACAAACAAAAGAGCCAATGAGCACCAAAACCTGAAAAGTCATGGGTCAAAATGTATTGTCTCGTTGGGAGTTCTTGTTCCTCCTCCAGTATTATTTCTGTTTCACAGGAGCTTTGAATCAATTGCTGAACATACTTTTATGACTTTGAGTTATTTGATGCTAGATGGAGTTCTTACCCATAATTCCTGGGTTTATAGGAGGCCACAATTCCCCTTCCCATAAATGTTTTGTTTCTCTGTGACTCTTCTGGTCATCTGCAAAGATAAGGAGCCTCTGAGATGTCTGTCTCGGAACTAGGCTTGATTTTTTTTTTTTTTAATTCTTTTTTAAGGTCCTTTCTTTTTCTTACGAAGTCTGGATTTGGTGGCGCTTTTTTTTTTGACATTTCTGCTGATGTTTTGAATCTCTTAAGCCATTAATCAGCTTTCACCTTTTCCGGAAAGCCGAGTGTGCTATTATGAACATTTCTGTCTATTTGCTGCTGTCTCTCTGGGTTCCTGAAACTCTAATTAAACCAGAGGCTTCCCCATCCCACCAGCAGCTGTAACTATGACAAATGTCTGCCTTGTTGTCAGGGAGCTCCAGTTTGCCTGCCTTTCTGTAGGGGCTCTGGCAAGCTTTCCTTCTTCCATAGAGGCACACTTAGTAAATGCCAAAGGACGCTTTTTGTTCATTACTGGCAACTGCTGAAGAATTTAACCCTTGGCAACATCTTGAACAAATAGAATGAGTGGTCGCCTGCCAGCTTTGCATCTGCAAAGGATATTGTCCTCAGTGCTTTACATTTTTACAAAAGAAATGGAAACTGTAGTAGCACTGAACATATGTAGTGTTGATTATCTGTAGCTATCCATGCTCTGTGCTGGAAGGCAGGAGAGCATGCTGAGTTCAAACGCTGGTGTCTGTCCTTTGGGCCCTCTGGGCTTTAGTCAAAGGAGCTGAGCTTGAGTTTGCTGGAACTGCAGTTCAGGCAGCTTGTACTGAGGAATATATAATTGAGGAGCCACAAATGTGAACAGCTTGCCCGATATGTCTTCTGTGCTGGTGTCAGGTCTCTTTTATCCACTACAGACTGCAACTCTGGGATGTGTTCCCTGTACAAATTACGATTTAAAACAATCCCAGCTGCTTAAATGTGGCACAAATCTCTGCTCCAAGACTTGGCTAGAAAACTGCCTAGGTTTTCCATAACTGAATGGGAAAGTAGCAAGCAACAGGGGGGAAACACGGCAGTTTCTTTCGCTGATAACTCTGTAAACTGGTCTTTACAGAGCAATTGGGTACTCTAACAGTATATCCCAGCACAAACAGCTGTAGAAATCTGGCAATCTGTGCTGGTCTGTTCTCAGTCCTGCAGAATGAGTTGTTCTTCTAGCAATAGTCTGACTCTGTAAGCAAAGATCAAAATGCTTGTTAAGGAAAAGTTAACTTAAAGATGAAATGTAAGTTCTTGTGGTTAACTCCTGACAGCCTTGGGGAGGGTTGTTCCCTTCATGAAATGTTTTGGTTCATGTAGGTAGGTCTTGAAATAAATAGGACACAAACTGATTACCTCCCAGCAATGAGCCAGGCTGCTTTGGATTGATCTCATGATCCTCCACATACATGGTCTGATTCTTTCTCTGAGTGTGTCCTGGCACGAGTTTTGTCAGAGACTCCAGATTGTCTAAGCTGTTCAGAGCAGGACTTTAAAGTGCGTGTGGAAGACCTGGAGTAGTGGAGGACTCGGTATGTGGTGCACAGTGCAGGGGTTTAGAGATACATTCCACAAACCAACCTTTGTTCCTCTGAAGACTCTTTGCCTTTGAGAATCTTATCAACAATTGCAGCTGGAGCGGGAAGTAGCTCAGCTTTTCACATTCCCATTCTGGGCTGAAGACACCCCTGAAAATAAAGCTTTAAGCAGAGCTGACACAGCCGTGTAGCTGACACAGAGCCACAGTACAAGGTAGATTTACATAAAGCGTCACATCCCTCTTCTAATGACCTAACCTTTGGGTTAGTTGCATCTTGCTAAGCACTATGAAAACAGCATGAGTACCAGTTGCAGCATTCCTCTGTTACCTTTACCTGTCGGTTTTCAGTGATGGAGTAGCACTAGCAAGGACATAAAACAAATTTAATGACTTGTGTGGCTTAAATTCCCTTCAGTATTGCCACAACTCATGCCCAGTTTGCTCTCCACAGCTTCTTTTTCAGAGAGAGTGCGGAACATGTCTCCAGATGAGATCAAAATCCCTCCTGAGCCTCCTGGCAGATGTTCTAACCACTTGCAGGTTGGTATAAGTCCACTTTATTTTTTTTTAAAAGGCTTGCAATTCAGTAGGGAGGGGGTATATTTGGGAATTCTGCTCAGTATTTTTGTACAAGTCAGAAATCCAGCATTAAAGCTGGGTTTTACCGCACCAAGTTCACGAATGCACTGTGTTAGTGCTTTAGACTGTACAGCAGTTCTGGTTTAGGAAGCTCTAAGCAGCTTAAAGCTGTTTTCCAGTCTCTGTGGGTTCCTTATGCTGTCAAATGGCTCTCGATCCCACCAGTGACACTGAAGCAATGTTTACTGTGAAGGCTGCTATCCTCTTACCTCAGCAGATTCAGTTCTGCAGGAAAGAACAAATCATTGTTTTTTCTATAGGGGCCTGAGACTCCCCTAACTGGAAGAGTTGAGACAGCATTGACTGGATTCCTTTTCCACCTACATATCTCTAGATGATAAACATTTAGAGGGAAGGCTAGTAACTTCGAGACAGCAAAAGAAAACAAACGCGTGTTTTCTCTGGTGCACACCCAAATAATTGCAGTAACCAACTCTGCAATAACGTTCTGCTCTGTTCTCCGGCTCCTGATGGAGAGCAAATGAATGAGTAGAGGCTGCTGTTTCCTATCATCCATTTGAGTTTTAACTGCAGTTATCTGTCCAGTAGAAATACAAGTAAAGACTCACTTCTGGAATGCTGTGTGAAGTATGCACTAATGTGCAATGGTGATTCAGAATGACTCACCATCCAGATCAGCTTTCTTCTTCTCTGCAGTGTACCTGGGCACACCCATTCCTCCTCTTGGGCTGTAGGAGGATTTTACTGCTCTGACATCAATGAATTAGAGTGCATTAGATCTGAGGAATGCACAGACCTTGAGAGCAGAGACAGAATAAAGCAGATTTTCTTCCCCTTTGACAGCAGTTTGCTATGTTAAATCAAAGGAGAACTTGTCCTCTGTTAGCAGGTCAAGCCACATCTTAGAGTGCTTTGAGCAAGGAGACAAGATTGTTCTTCAGAGATGCAAAACGTTCTAGGCTTTTCACTCTTGGTTTGCTCTTTCCTTTTGTCAGATTATTCCTCTAATAAACTGTATCTTGAACTCTGCCAAAGGGAGTATTTCTTATTATAAAGTTGACTGAGTAGTTCCCCATCTGTGGACTTTATGAACCATATTGCACCTCCATAGGGAGGAGACGGAAGGGAACACCTATTCATTCATTTCTGCTCCTCAAATTCATCTTTTTGCAGTTGTTCCTTCAAACCTTATGATGTGTACACTCGATGTGGACATTGTGTAATTGCTTCTTGCTGATTTTGTGAGGACCTGATGAAAATTTACCTTATAAAGCTTTTTTTAAGGTTAATGAAATAAGAGTTTCATGTCAGCTTTTAACAATCCTTTTTTATTCAGGCATCAGAACCACCCTTAGACAATAGTCAGTTCTGTAGCTGAATTGACCGTCCATATGGAGGGAGACATGAAGTGACTTGTCCAGAAGCAACAAAGGAAAATTGACTCAACTCTCCCATCCTGCAAGACGGAAGACCTAGCCTCTGGTCTGATTTTTATATGCCTCGTGTACATGACGAATTTGTGTCAAAAAGAAAAGACAAGAGAAATTACTGAGAATATTCTCCTAGTAGTACCACTGAAATTTGTTTCCTCTGAAAGCTTCTGCTTTTACTATCCCTTCAACATCACCAGAGTAAAAATGCTTTTAAGGTCTTTCACTATATTGCTGAGAAAGGAAAATAAAATCATGTTTATTTTTAAATCTTTCAGTCTTTGGAGAGCAGACTGCTTGACATTTCTAACCTGAGTCAGTTAAGTTACCTTTTGCAGGGACTTGTGGCTTCTTTAAGATGTCCATAGACTTCATAACTATGTGAGTGATCTGCAAAGAGAAGCTGATTCCATCAAACTGGCCACTTATGTCCATAGACTTCATAACTATGCGAGTGATCTGCAAAGAGAAGCTGATTCCATCAAACTGGCCACTTGTGCACAAGCAGGAGTTTACAAGTGTGTTGTTCCTAAGAGCATTTGGCTGCCAGGAGACACCACCTGCAATACCTGATGATCACATTTGGTTTAGTTCTCCAGCAGACATGCATGACTGGGTCTGGAGGTGGGTGTGATGGTCACTGTAAGTTGTGGGAGAACCTTTGTGGATCTCACCTGCCCCTCTTGGAGCTGGCTTCTGCTTCTCTACAGTCATTGCTATGAAGGGAATCAACAGACCAAGAGGAAGAAGTGTGCACTACTGCCTCAAATGCAAATCTTCAATCACTGAAGCCTTCAGAAAGTGCAAAAATCAGCTCCTTTACCCATCCAGACAGTGCATGAAGATACTTTCAGACCTAAAGGAGGGAATGTCTGTACTAATCAACCTGCCTGACCTTATGGGAGAGGCGGAATCCTTGTTCCGTGCAAGGAGGTCACTGATTCAGTTGGCTTGTTTCCACCTGTACGCTTCTGATGGTCAGCTGCTGTGCTCCTCCTGTCGTACTGGCTCACTCTGTAATTTTTCTCCCTTAGGATAAAATTCAAAAGCTGTATGAGAGGAAAATAAAAGAGGGCATGGATATGAACTTGATCATTCAGAGGAAAAAGGAGTTCCGCAACCCCAGGTGAGCCACTGTCTTTCCTGTGTGACCAAACACTGCAGAGCAAATTCCAAGAACTTTCTGCTTTGTTGGAGTTGTAGCAGGATCCTGAGCAAGAAGTATAACTGCTTACAAAAATGAGAAAGATAATTTGATTGCAACTGAAACAGTAAAAACTCTCCTTTGTGTTCTGTGATGCAACAACTAGAGTTTGTGTGTTGCTGAGATTTTTAATGTACAGGCTTTGGATGAAGTATTTTAGAAGACGTGTCTGTTCTGAGAGTTGGGAAATTAATTTGGGGAGAGCGGGAAATAACGTGGTTAATGGCATGCCACATCCATCGTAGCAAGCGTAGCTTCCCAGGTTCTGATTTTACTCTTGCAGCGTGAGGAGGTGACAACCTCTTCCTGCTTACGAATCTGAAACACTTTGTTTACTTCTAGCTCACTGTCTCTGTTCTGAGCTCTTGCCTTTCCTTTGCAGCATCTATGAAAAGCTGATTCAGTTTTGTTCGATTGATGAACTCGGTACAAATTATCCAAAGGTGAGGTACAGTACTTTTGACTGGCAAGGGGGTGGGTAAAAGATAATGTCGGAGTGTAAGGTCTTACCTCAGGCTTTCTGGAGCCTGCTTGTTTAGAGGCCCTTTAAGGGAACTTTAGTCTGATCCTCTGCATTGAAATGAACGTTTTTGTGTGGCACTGAGCCTCAGTGCCTCCATCTTTACTGTAATTATTCTGAACAAAAACTGCCGAAGGGTGTAGCTACACGTGAAACTCCTTGAGGGGGGATAGAAGCTGAGCAGCAGAAAAATGCCTGACTTATCCTAGCATCCTTCTAACTTCAAAGCTGTTTCTTAGTTCACAACAGAACATGGTCCTATAAAGGGAGGTCTGATGTGATCCTTGTGTCACTGGGATACAGGAATAAATCAGTAATGAATATCATCCATGCACGGAAGTACATAAAACTTTTGAACTGGGTTTTGTGTGTATGTGGAAACAGCCCTCATCTGGCTTATTTTTTTTCTTTAGGACATGTTTGATCCTCATGGCTGGTCAGAGGATTCATATTATGAGGCACTAGGTAATTCCAGGAAGTCTTTTTTGTCCTAACTTAGCTCTTTGTGTTTTGTAGTTAATTAACTGCGCTAGAGCCTTCACTTCTTTTATAAATGAGAAGTCATCACATGCTGCTCCTTAACTGCTTCATTCTGGTTGGATGTGCCTGAATGTTATTGATGCTTCATCAGTCTGGAAAACCTTTTCATTTAAATTGGTTCTTCAGTGTTTTCATCTCTTAAATCATCAATTTAATGCAGTAATGCTTTGATTAAAAAGCAGTAGTTAGTTTCATGGCAGCGTAATTTTCTATACACAATTTGAAGGTTTTGATTGTTTGTGATGGGAAGTGTGTGAGTGAGAGAGAACTATGGATTTTTACTGTTCCTAGTGCTTCTTGTAACTTCTGGTCTTTCTCAGCTAAAGCCCAGAAGATTGAAATGGACAAATTGGAGAAGGCCAAGAAGGAGCGCACAAAGGTAGCAATTCAAAACGAAAGGAGATGGAGATGCGGGGTTCTTGTTTGTTTCCCTGCTGAATTTTGTTTTGTTGCTTTGCTGTTTCTCATGAACTGTGCTCTGTGCTAATACTGTTTTGTTTCTCCTTGATTCTGTCCTTCTCATATGTCTTTTTCCAGGCTGCACAGATCAAGTTGTTTGCCCTTCCTTACAGGTCCATTTCGCTAGGTTGTTTGTTCCTCTGGATTTCCCTCTATATTGTCAGTATTTTTAAACCAAAACTCTTAAAATGGTCTCCAGTAAGACACATACAGACAAGATAATGCATAAAGAACAGCTTTTTTCTTAATCTGTGACATTTTGCCTGATGACATAGCCTTGTTACAGCTTAATTTCTTCACCATATATCATTGTGAGACAGTATCTGCTTTCTGTTCTCCTTCATATTGCCTTCTTGCATCTCATTTCCAGAAATGTTTGGCCTATTTTAACTTTAACTGGGCTTGTGGCAAAATGTACATTCTTATGTACCCCCCTGCCCCAAAAGAACACAGACAGGCTTTGGAAGATTTTATTCCTGTCCTTCAGTGGTGTTGCCTTTAAGCTAGTGCGGGCTTTAAAAAACTGTCTAGTGTTAGAGATTGCCATCTAACCTTGCGGAAAGCTCTTTCCATATTCAGTATGTGGAGGTATCTTTTTTCTTGCAGTGCATGCTGTTTCTTGCTACTTGTTTTGGTTTTTTGCACAGTAACCCAGGTATCTGATTACGTCCTTGCCCATATCTGCAGTTTTGAAAATACAAGACTGCATGCTGTTGTAGCTCTTGTTGCTAGGTTTCCTGCTGTGATGCAGTCGCAATAAATCGAGCAGGTAGAGACTTGTCTTACCTGTTTCTTAAAGGAAAAAGAACAACTTCTAACTGTATAAATACGTTCTTTAATGACCAGGATCTGTCCTTTCTGAGCTATATCAAATTCCTATGCTTGTGCCAGTTAACACACGCATTTTTATCAGATCTGTCTTAGGAGCTGAGTTGCAGGAATCCTTAATGATCATGACTTCAGTATGCTTTGGCCTGAGATCTACGTCTGTCTTGCTGCATGACAGTCAGCTTGGAGGCCAGTGTCTCACATGACACTAAAGCTATTCTTTAAAAACATAGAGAGGCCATGTGGGTTCAAAAAAGGCTGTGTGTATTAACACTTCGTTTTTATCTTCTCCCCTTTCTCCATGTCTGTCCCTTCCCAGATTGAATTTGTGACTGGCACTAAAAAGGGTACAACAACAAGCGCAGCCTCTACAACAACCACAACTGCCAGTACCACTGTGGGAGGTAAGAACAGTTGTGATTGTATCTATTAAGCTGCAGTAATGCTGGGATTAGTGCTTCCTAGAAACGCAGAAGGCTCCTTATTCATTGTGCATATAATGGCAAGAAAGTGTTTCTTCTAGGGGTTGACAGAGTAGCTTTCCTCTAGTCCCTGTATCCGATGACCGTCCTTTTGGAATGAAAGACTAGAGACAGGTGGGATAGTGAAGAGATTTATCAATGGGTCAAGAAACCTGCTGATGTCTATGGCTGTAGAGTGTTTTTGGGTCTAATGCATCTCAAGAGATTCAGAAAGACTGAAAATCATTCTCTGCCTGCAGCCTGCCTTTTAAAGTGGGAGGAAGGGAGAAAAAACACAGGAGGCTCAGTGTGTCTTGTGCCCATACCTGAGCAACTGAGATCTGTGCGCTCTGTTAAAATTAAATATGCTTTGGGGCAGGGAGTGAACCTGTCTCCTATTTGGCTGGAGTTCAGGTGTAGAGTTTTACTTTGAGTCTTGAGGTATCGAGTAGTCTTTCCTCTTCAACACTTACTGGTAGTGTATGCTGAAATTTATCTGAGGGAAAGCTGTCTAGTCAAGCAGTGGTGTATTAACAGTTGACAAGACAGGGTGTTAGGAAGGGATTGGTGTCCTTTAACATAATGCTAATCCTTCTTTGCTTGATTTAATCAAATTCACAGATGCCCAGAAGAGGAAGAGCAAGTGGGACTCGGCCATCCCTGTAACGACGATAGCTCAGCCCACCATCCTCACCACTACTGCAACTCTGCCAGGCGTTGTCACAGTGACAACCAGCGCAAGTGGATCCAAAACTACAGTCATATCGGCTGTTGGCACCATTGTGAAAAAGGCAAAGCAGTGACTGGTGTGCTGGGCCTGGATTTTTGGACTTAATTGTCATTGAAGCCATTGTTCTCGGAAGGGAGGGGTAGCTTTCGCCTTTGGTAAAAGATGACAAGATTCTTTGAAACAGACCACAGTTCCCTTTTGAAGGCGTGGGGGCAGGAGCAGGCATGCCAGCTGTGTGCCCACAGGAATGGACCTCTGCCTAAAATGCCTCTGTCTTTTCTTGCTGTGGGAAGAGCCAGTCTGTGTGTGTTGTGCTGGAGGAAGGTGGTATCTGGATCAGCCTGTAAAAGTTAGCTTATTAAATTGCTGCGTTAGGTGGTTCTTTCCTACTTGCAAATCTGGTTTGGGGAGGAAAAGGCAAGTAGCGAAGGAATATCAGTATCACCCTCGTGTATTCCAGGTCACGCTCAGAGGCTGCGAGCAGCTTGTGATAGGTACCTCCCTCATGTGTGCTCACCCAGTTCCAAGGGAATTAAAGCAGAAACGATTGATCAGTGTCCATCTTCAGATGTGTAGCAGAGACTTGAAGTGATCTGCATCTATGAGTGCAGACTCGCTCCTTGTTATAGTGCTGTCACCTGTACCTCTGTGCATATCAGTGTAGACCTTAGCGACCGTGTGTTAAATAGCTGAACTGCTGAGGAAACTGTGCTGAAGTACTCTTCGTTCATCTTGCAGGGATGGAGATTTCTATGCAGAACTCTTAAGCTGTAGAGGTTTAATTTGTGAACTCATTTGCAAAGATGACTCTTCCATTGCCATGGAATGAGACTGGACAGCAGATAAGCAGAGTGTCTGATATTGATGTACTGTGAAATGCACACATGACAGTTACTGCTTGCTCCACTGTTGTGAAAAAGTATTTTCAGTTGAAAATTTTATTGTATAAATCTTCTTACCTGTGTAGCAAAAAATTATTATAAAAATGGAAAAGTCTTTAAAAAAACCCTGGTGTAATTCACGTGTCTGCATTTCTCATCTTGGCGAGGGAGAATCGGTATCATTTGTTGTGCTTTGGTTTGCAGATACCGTTAGGTCAGTATGTAATAATTCCATGAGACTGGGAGTTCCAAACTTAAATAGTTTTAAAACATATTAAGCACTTTGTCTTGCCAGTCATTTTAGCTTTAAAAAAAATCACCTATGTATCCAGGAATGTTCATGGGGGAGAAACCAGGGGGCCGATGATACTGTAGCATGGGAAATTGGGGAGATGGTGGAATTCCTATTTTTTTAAAGCAATGAAATATTGAAAGACGTGAAAATAGCAAGATGGAAACATCTCTTCTGTTAAATTACTCTGCATTGGACTTCTGACTTGATTCCTGCAAGCCTTAACTGTCCTCATCCTGTGGAAGGTGGTAACAGCTCCCGTGGCTGAGGGTATCTTCTGGTTTGGGACTGTTACATACTCTGCGGAGGATGACACATTTCACCTCAACTATTGGAGGTGTTTATTTCCTGCTTTGAGGAATGGAGTTTTCAGGGCTTTCCTCTGAAGGCCAAGGATGTACTTGTGGTGGGAAATAGAAGCCATTTGGTCACTTTGCAGCTCCGTAGGGTGACTCTCCTGTCTAGAACAATTCCAGCCTGTTTAACACTTGAATGATATAAATACCTATTTTAAAGTCCTGCTGAACAACCTGTGGATGAAGGTACACCAGCAAAACTGCAGCAAGTGCACACCAGCTGCTGCAATTTCTCTCAGACTATAGATTCATGACAAACTTTGGGCACCAGAAGGATCACTGTGATTGTCTGCTCCTGTGAATAGGGGTGGGAGGTGTGTCTGGGCTTCTAGAACAACTAACATTCCTCTAATGAGTGTCCTTAATATGTGTGCTGTGAGCAAGTCTGAAGCTGAGTGAGATTAAATATCTCAGTGGGATGTGTGCCAGTACACAAACGCAGCCTGGTGCCAGAGGTACCAGCCAGTCTTGTACAGCCCCTTCCTCTGTTCGTGGTAAACAGAAAGTGGGAGAGTCTGAGACTACGTTAATTTAACCAAATTTACAGATTAAGTAAATTATAACGGAAAATATTCTGTGCATTTTGGAAGAACTGTCCGTCTTTTGCCTGATGTCTTACGAGTCCTTGTAAAGTTGGATCAGAAGTGGTCACTCTGTCTCCTGACAGGCAAAAAAACCCCTTGCAGATGTAGGTGGGTTTTGTCTCCAGGCTGTTTGCACTACTATGATGTGGAACTCCTTCCTCACTCCTGCTTCTGTTCAGTTTCTCACTTTCTCTAATAATTCGGAAAGACTGTCTTTCATGGGAGTGAATAACTGCATCTGACTGACTACGCACTAAAAGTAATTTTTGATCCTACCCAGGAACAACCGTGCTGGATGACTTCGCTTGATTACAAGGAAATATTTTTTCTACACCTAGTTAAGCATGTCAGCACTTGTGTGTTTGTATGCCCTACCGTATCGGGGGAGAGGAGTAGCAAAGGAAAGTGTGTGTGAATTTTTTTTTTTTTTGAAAGCTGCTATCAGGAGGCAGCTGAACACCAAGCAGAGGAATAGGTTTGCAGGAAGAGAAAAAGGATTCGATTTAAGAAGCTTTATGAGCAAAGCTAAGAAACGCTGCTCGTTTAGCAGAGAGCAGCCATGCCCAGCAACTCGGGAGCAATGGGAAAATGCCGATCGACAGGGCTTGATGCTGTGTAGAGGAATAAGGAGAAAACTTTCCAAAACTCGTTCTGCCGAAGCGTGCTGAGGAGTGATGGCTGTGAGCACCTGGAGCAGCAGTTCTCCAGCTCCTGCGGTAACAGGCTTCTGCAAGAGACTTGGCTGACCTGGGCTGTGCCCTGGCAGCCAACTCCTGAGCTCTCATGACTGAGTGTTTGCTGTCCACAGCAGGGAAAGCAACTTGAAACACGCATGATTTTTTTTTTTTTTTTTTTTTCTCCCCTTCCCAAAAAGCAAAAAGCTGGAGTGGAGACGCCAACCATTGTGTAACAAACTTGCAGCCAGTACAATAGCTCGCTGCTCTTGTTTATCTTGTGTGTTGCTATCGGAAGTAATAGAGGGTTACACAGGTTGGAAACTCCAGGTCTAGGAAAAAGCCTCTTTTCTACCTCCGAGATGGTACATGTCAGTGCCTTGCGCTCAGCTGTGGCCAGTCCATGCACCAGAGGAAGGTGGAGGGAGCTCCAGGTGTGCAAAAGCAAAGTCCCGAAGGAAAAGGATCCTTTCCTGGCCCACGAAGCCACTGCCTGAAGCCCTCAAACAGGAGGTTTGACTCATTTGCTCGTTAGAAACCTGTGTGGCTGTGATGCTACCAGGGCAGTGTGACGGCTGCTGAGCACAGGAGGGCTGGAGGGACCCGCACGGTGTTCAAATGCCAGCGTTTTACAAAGCCCCTCGGAACTGCACGCTGTGTCCCAGCTGCACTGGTGCAAACTAATGGCTTACACACCAAACGGTTCTTCATGCTGCTGCTGCAGTAGCAATTGCTCAGGCTGCACTTCTGAGGCCCAAAACCTGTAGATATTCATCATTACCTCCCTGCCCAGGAGGAGACTAACTGCACCCAGGAGAGTAAAACTGGTCCCACTTTCGTTATTCCTTACTCTGAGAATTACAGGCTTGTGCTCCTTGAAAACCACAGAGCTTCTCTCTGCTCACTGCCTTTTCAAACACGAGTGTCTCTTGGCTCAAGGAGGTTTGTTTTAGCTGAAGCTGCATGTTGGAGTGCGTCTCTGCCACGCTGGGCTGCCCGGTGGCTGGGGGAGGGCTGCCATAATGAAGTCATCCTTGGCAGAGCTGGTTCTGCCCTCGCCCTCCCTTCTGAAGTCTTTTCTCCCACCTCCATGCCCCGAGGTGCTGATTTTCTTTCCCATTTGCTTGTTGAGATTTAGAGATCTGCCCTCCTTTGATGCTCTTGTGGGAAGGGATTTTGTGTGTTCGGGGTTTGCTTTTATTTTCTGTCTCGCTGGGCGCTGCCCAACCGAGAGAGCAGGTGGGGAGGGGCAGCCCTTGCCAGCCCCACCTCAAACCATAAGATGTGAGCACCTGAAGCTATGTTTTAGTTGGATTGCTACTGTACTCTCTGTTTTATGAGAGTTATTTACTGAGACTTAGAAAAATAATAATAAAAAGCCTTCCCTGCCAAGGCTCTGGCCGTGCCAAGGCTTTGCTGATGACACAGCCGGCTCTGGCAGCGTGGAGGTGATTGCTTCAGCCGGCGTCCAGCCAGCCGGCACCTGCACATGCTCCTTTCCAGCTCTTCTTTATTGTAGGGGAGAAGCAGTTGTAGCTTCCCACGAAGCCCCTCAAAAAGATAGAATCATAGAATGGTTTGGGTTGGAAGGGACCTCAATGATCATCCAGTTCCAACCCCCCTGCCATGGGCAGGGACACCTTCCACTACACCAGGTTGCCCAAAGCCTCATCCAACCTGGCCTTGAACACTTCCAGGGATGGGGCAGCCACAACTTCTCTGGGCAACCTGTGCCACTGCCTCACCACCCTCAATGTAAGGAATTTCTTCCTTAGATCTAATGGGTTTTGCAACATGCCCAGAAAGTTATCAAAGGGTATGGGCTGCTTGTTCCTGTGAAGTGTGTGACCCCAGGAAAGCCCGGAGTTGTTACCTCCAGAGAAAGAGAGAGATGCTTTTCA